GAGAGGGAAGCGGGTCAGAGGGAGAAGCAGACCCCCGCTGAGCAGGGAGCCCGATGCGGGACTCGATCCCGGGACTCCAGGATCATGACCTGAGCCGAAGACAGTCGCTCAACCGACTGAGCCACCCAGGCGCCCCTACACAATGTTTTGATAAGTCTTTTATTTCTATTTCTGACAGTTTTTGCCATCCTTCCCCGCGGTCGCCTTCAGGGGCGAGGTTTGCCACATCCCGTCCCTCCCCAGGCGTTTAACTCCCAAATAAAGCAGGTACAATAAGCGGCTGCCTTGTACTCGGCACCGGTTCCTCACGCTGGAGCCAAAGAGGAATTCTTCCAAGCCAGCCATTGAAGCGCCTGGTGCCCATCAGAGAAAAGCAGCGGGGACGGGTTGTGTTCCCCGTCGCACCCAGCAGGTGGTGCTGTCGGCCAAGGAAAACGGCGCATTCCCCGGACAAGTGCTCAGAAGAGGTCTGGGCAGGTGTCCAGCCCCACCGAGGCCCGGGCTCCCGTCGGGGCGCTCAGGGGTGAGGCTCACGGGCGATGGACGTGCCCAGCGAGGATGGGGCCTGGCTCCCCCCGTGGGAAGCGGTCAGATGCTCCCAAACAGCTACCGCACGGTTGGGAGTCCGGGTTTGGGGTGGAGATGCTAGCAGTTGGTTCCATGGTAGTGGCAGGTGGATCCGCGAGGAGCCAGGGGGACGGCGTTTCCCCCCCTCCTTGAATTTAATTTGCCATGTGACGCAGAGCAGGTCCCTGCCCGCACCCGGGAGTCGGCTGCCCCCTGCAAAATGAAGGGGCTGCACGAAGTGACCTTGGGGGGGACGTCCAGGGCTAACGTCCGTGAGGCTCATTATCCCAAGGACGCCATCAGTTTTCATGGTCATCCTCCTGGGAACAGCCCCAGGGAAGGAAGGGAAGCGAGCCGGGCACAGCGGACACAGGGGGGCCTGGAAAGGGAGCTGACGGACCCCTGGATACTTGGTCCAAGTGCTTAGACCACCACCAAACCATCGCCAGTCCTGACAGCAGGTCATCCAGAGTTATGCTCGCCAAGTAACCATACCCCAAAGCAATCTGATTTCACGGAGAGTAAGGATTCCCTACAAGTGACAAGATGGTGTGAGCACATTAAGGCCCAGCTGAGGGTCATTGGGATCGTGACCCGTGGATACTTAATTATCTCGGGACTACTCCTTCCGGCTAAGTAGCTGTTCATCATACTGCTTATGGGGCAAACACCAAGCACACGGGAACCACGACACTAAAGACAGGATCCCAGAGCAGAGTCAGCACAGGAACCCCTAGCCTGAGGGGCCGCGGAGGAAGACTGACCTTCAGTGCGTCCCCATTCCCGACTTCTTACGGAAATCCTGCGGAGTCCCAGGGTGTCCCAGGCCCGGGAGCACAGGTTGCACGGTGTTTGCGGGCTCACTATCGCCCCTAACGTCCAGGGGGACGTGGGCTCCGCATGGTGAGCTCTCCCAGGGTGCCTCTGATGGTGGTTTAATCATTGTCGTTAATGTTAAACTGAACAGTAATAAGAATCTGGGACCCGCCCCCGTGAGGAACACAGAGTATTTGTAGGTTATGAGCAGGAAGACCTGTTTCTCAAACATTCACCAATTTCCTTGCCAGGTCCTCCCTCCTGTGTGTCAGGAAGAGCTGCTTGGACTAACCTGGTCTCTCTGTCACGAGCTATGCTCCATGTTCCGGGGCAGGTGCGTCTACCTGCGGTTCTGCCGGGAGGGAAGGCTTCCCATCTCCCGGGGGGCTGGGAGGGACCGGCCACCTGGGCAGGGGACGTGGCTTGCCACTCGGTCACTTCGTGCAGAAAACTAGGGTCATGGCAATCAGTGCTCTGTGGGGACCTCAGCTCCCTGACGCCACTAAGGCCGGGGACCCTCAGAAGGGAGACCCGTGTGGGGGGGAGCAGGGGGGGAGCTGCAGCTGCCCAGAGCGGGCCTGGCTCTAAGGGATTTTGCCGCAGTCCCCTTGGGGGCAACAACGATCCCAAGAGCCATCCTCCTTCCCCTGCTGCCGCCCGCAGGGAGGGCCCGTGGGAGGTGACGCAGCCGGGAGGGGACGCAGGCGCCGAGCATTCATGGCTCAGAGGTCACTGAGACGTGGGACGCCAAGAAGCAGGTTGGCAGGCAGGAAACGGCGTGGAAGGAAGATAAGGGGCAGGCCGACACCAGAGAAGACGGACACGAGTGCAGAGCAGTGTCCCCGCTTGTCGGGCAGGACGGAGAGGCTCGTAAGCATGTAGATGGGTGTGGAGGCAGCCCCAGGAGGAGTGGGTCAGGCGGTTCACACAGAGCGCCAGACGGCGGTGAGGGGCTGCGATTTATTCGCCTGTGCTGGATCGTAACTAGAGCACATGCTAGATTGACCTCGACTTGAAAACAGCCAGAGCGGTGATTTTGGAAACAGGAGCTGTTGTCAAGCCCTGAACGCCGGGTCAGTGCGTCCTGATCGGCGTCCACCCCGTCACCGTCCCGTGAAAGTGAATGCGAAGGACACGTGACTCTTGCTTGGGGAGCAGCACACACTTTATTCCGGATGGAAATGCCGGGATCGGTGTTTCCAGAGTGAACATCTCCCCCCTCGTTGTGCAGGGAGTTCCTGTCCCGGGACCGACCGTCCGCTCCCAGGAACCAGCCCACAGCTGCACCTGCTCACGCCCGGCCTCCAAGCACACCACTGTGGTTCCTACTGGCAGAGAAGGATTTGGGATCCACAGGCCGGGTCCTGTGGGAGAGAAGTGACTCTGAGCACGCGGACAGACGGGACAGCCGCCGGGGCCCCTGGGTCTCAGTCAGCTACTCAGGTGCCCGGGGACACGTGCATCTCAGGGTGGCTGGAAGGGGCCTCGCGTGTGCATTCCAGCAGGGGGTTTGGGTTCCCGCGTGGGTGCGAACGCGGATCCTGCTGTGGCGGGACGCCTCGGGGGACAGGGCCAGCCAGCTCCGCGCGTCCCGGTGACCGCCTACGTCTCGGATGGGCGCGGGCACGCACTGACTTTAGTGCCCCATCTCGGTGGTCATGCAGACAAAGTAAAAGTAGTAACACGCAAGTCTAGACTGGTTGTCTCCACACTACTTGTGATGATTCCATTTTTTTTAAAAAAGTGCATTCTAGAAGTGAACACTTTCAGCCTCTGGCTGTCTTCTTCGGCCGAGACTTGGGGTAACACTGAGGCGAATGCCTGCCCTCGGCTGTCAGTTTCGAAACCGGTTTGTACAAACGGCAAGCACTGTCATGATCTCGCTCTGGCTTACTCGTTCTGATTTGTCTACACTTTTTAAAAGGTAGGTTAAAATTTTCACAGCTCATCCTCTTGTATAAACCCAGTTTGCATGAGCAGTAAACACACAGCAGGCCCGTGCACAGCGGGACAGGACCGGCAGGGGGTTGCCGCACGAGGGACAGGACCAGGGTCTCCGTGATGGCCTCCTGGTCTGAATGGGCCTGCGTGACGTGTGGCGACCCCGCGTCCACCCAGGCGTGCACCCACCTGCCCTGCGCCCGGAGTGGGGGCACCAGGCTGAGGCACACTCGTGTCCCGGCGTGCTCCATGGCCCGGCTGGCAGGTCCCTCTTCCATCTGTCTCCGCGATGGGCAGTGAGGCTTTACGGCCCGTGAGCGTCCTGTGGACAAGCACACATCTGGTTAGGGTGGTCACGACTCAGGAGAACCCCCCAAAGCCCATCACACACAATGTCACGTTGCCACTGTGATTGGAGGGGGGCCGGAACGCCGGTGCCTCCCCGATCCATCAGGCGAGGAGCCCGGGGCCCCAGTTACCGCGAAGAGAAGAGAGCGTTAAGGTGCAGCGTGGCCTGCACTGTTCTGTGGAGCCGGTCCAGCGCCAGGACCCCCCGCCACAGGCCACGAATCGCCCTGCCCAGAGATCGCCCCCAGCCCCAGTCCTGCCAAACTCATCTGATCCACTTCTGATTCCTGCAGAAATGCATTCGGAAGATCACAATCTCAGGAGAGAGACTGAACTGTGGGCAGGCTCCCCACTCCCTTTTTCTCTGTTGTTTTCCAGGCTCACTGCAGACACTTTGCATCTGGATGTAGGTTTCCTGATCCACGAACGTCTCAGAAGCACGTTGTGCTCCTGTCCTGCTGGGGCCGGTCCTGGTTGCATCTCCTCCTCGTCAGACCCTCACAATGCCGGGGGTCCCCAGGGTGTGAACAGCACCCTCCCGGACGACCAGCAGGCGCAGGGGAGTCACAGGGAAATTAGGGAATGTCACGGGAGGAATGGACGTGGACAGGACACACTGGGACCCACGGGCACAGAGAACACCGCACGCAGTGGGGACGATCCAGCAGTATGTGTCTATGTGGAAAAGAAGACAGACCTCGGGTAAGCCAGGTAACTGCAGCCGGCGGAGGGGCAGAAAGGACCAGCCAGAGTTGCAGAAGGAAGGACAGGGAGACCAGAGCAGAGACGTCTCGGGCACAGTTCAACCTCCCGCCTCACCTCCCCCTCTGCCCCTGCCCGTGGCCGTGAGCGGGTGACACCGAGCTCTTCTGGGGGTCAGTGGCCCATGGGAGTGGGAGTGGGCATGTCCGCCACTGATCCAGGACAGCGGCGCCGGGCACGTGGCCACCATCCTCCCGGAAGCACAACAGGCTGGAGGTGCTTTGGATGAAGCCACGCGGCCCCGTGGCAAAGGGCTGGGTGGGAAGCAGGTGCCCAGACGCCAGGGCGTTTGTGGGTTGTGGACGCGGAGTCACTGGTGTGGACACAGCAGGGAGGGTGACCCGGGTGAGCACCCACTAATGGGCTGTCCCGTGAGAGCCACCGCAGAGGGCAGTTCCTCGGGTCAGCCCACAAGGGGCAAAGCCCCCTCCGACGGCACCCTGTGCCCTCCCATCCCAGAGGACAAACCCCCCTTTCCAAGCTTCCCTCTCTCCCCAGGAGGACCAAACACCAGGAAGTTTCAAGCTCTCAACCAAAGCAGTTCCAAATACAAGAGGAAAGGCCTTTTGTTGTGGGGAGGGGAGCAGATGCCAGGGTCAGGGCTCGTGGGGAGGGCACTTCTGGGCATGGCAGCAGGGCTGCGCTCTCCGGGGCTTAGGTGCTGTCTGTCTGGTCCCCACAGAGGCCGCGGGCCCCCAGCCCTTCGCGAGTCAATACCTGCCTGTTCATGCGGCTCTGAGCATCTCTGAGGCCCAACGGTCTGCTCGCCACGTCCCGACCAGCAAACAAAGCGGTGCTCGGTGGCGTGTATTAAGGCTCCAGAGTCGAGAATCCAGTGCAGTGGACACTTTGCTCCCAAATTTCCTGGAAATGTATCATTTGACGGGTGGCTGTCAATCTTAAATCTGTTTTCCCTGTGTGGCATCTGGATGCACCTTTGCATAACGATAAGGGGACTGATGTCTAACGGAGACATTTACAACCACGTGAATACTAAGTTGTGGTACCATCAGTTCTTCACAGTGTGGACATTCAGTCCACAGGATCGCAGCAACCAGCCCGTCCGGGGGTGTGTGCCCACGGCCTGTCTCATTTCTACCGCTTTATTCGTTTGGTGACCGGCTATGGGTTTTAATTACTGCCAATGTCTAAGCTTCTAAGACCAGGTGATCCTTAGGACTATTTCCTGCCACCAGCCCCACCTAAAACCAGAGACGCTGTTTAAATGTTAGTTGACATAATGTCTCCAACAGGTCAGCAGTGGTGCCTTGAAGAGGATGTAGGTGATGACCGGTCAGTGTTCATCAGAATGACAGCCTGAGGGCGCCTGGGTGGCTCAGTCCTTAAGCGTCTGCCTTCGGCTCAGGTCGTGATCCCAGGGTCCTGGGTTCGAGCCCCGCATCGGGCTCCCTGCTCCACGGGAAGCCTGCTTCTCCCTCTCCCACTCCCCCGGCTTGTGTTCCCTCTCTCGCTGTGGGTCTCCCTCTGTCAAATAAATAAAATCTTTAAAAAAAAAGAATGACAGTCTGACAGTTTCGGCCCTGATGGCTCTGATGGGGACAGCCCAAACGGTGACAGTCCTGACGGTGACGGCCCTCACGTTGGTGGTCTTCACGGTGACGGTCCTGATGGTGTGATCACACTTGGTGCCAAAGCAAACTGGGAGGAGGTGGGGGGGTGCGGTGCCCACGGCCAGGCCCCCAGACCCGGGCAGAACTTGGGTCTCAGAAGCTATTCCAGCTGTTACCAGCGCGTGCGAGCGACACATTCTGCAAACAGACACCCCAGCACTGCTGTATTGGGTTCCTGGGGCTTCAGTAACACCAGGCCATGGCCCCATGGGCTTGGCCACGGAAATCTGTTCTCTCCCCCTTCTGCAGTGTGGACGTGTGGGGTCATAATGTCGGGACAGCTGGCTCCTTCTGAGGCCGTGAGGAGCTCAGCTTCTGGGGGTTTTCTGGTGACCCTGCAGACGCATTCCCCAATCTCTGCCCTGATCTTCACCGGCCTTTGCTCTGTGTGCGTCCCTGACCCTATTCCCCCTTCCTATGAGGACAGCAGACCTGTTAGATTGGGGACACCTACTCCAACACGACCCCATCTCAACTCATTACATCCCCAATGACGCTGCTTCCAAATATGGTCACATGCCAAGGTACCAGAGGTCAGGTCTTCAACATGTGAATTTGGGGGATGCATTTCAGCCAGTAACAAAGACCTCACATGATCGATAGCAGAGTTTAACGACATAATGGCTAGATTCACCTAGCCAGTGAGACCCACAGCTGCTGGGGGTTCGCATTAGCTGGTAAGCTGAAGGAATTCCTCACTGTGCCATCTGAACAGTGGCATCCATTAGCTCTGCCAGAAGTTACGAACCTGCTAGAAAGTGTGTCATTTAAATACATTTACCAGACAGATGGTAAAGTCACGGGTCAGGTAAAGACGTGGAGGCAGAGGGGGTCTTGGGGTTTAAAGGAGATGGGTGCTGGCAGGCAGAGCGGAGCCATCACGGGTCCCGGGGCGTTACCCCCCAGGCGCTCGGATTGGAGCCAGGCTGCGGCTGGCAGGGGAACGCGACGGTGGCCTCCTGGTGGTGACCCCCGACCTCTAGGGCTCTGGGGTTTGCTCGCAGCAGCACCACTGTGGCAGAGGGGCGGGGGGACGGGACCGCGGGAGGCGGCTGGGGAGCAGGCGCGGCAGTGGGCAAGGGCACCGCGGCAGACGCTCCGCGGGGCAGCCCAGACGTCTCACGGCAGGCGCTCCGCGGCGGGGCGGGGGTAGGGCCCGGCCAGACGGGACCAGCCATGGCGTCTTCTAGTTTATGCCCGTGAGAAAGTTCAGCAAGACTCTGAGCTTGATTCCTCAGAGCCACTGGTCAGGAAGGGGCAGCAGCGGTGCAGACCCATTTCCCACAGAGACACTCAGATCCCCCTCTGAAGGCCCCACCACTCGGCCATTTTTAACATGAAAGTCCAACTTTCCAGTTCCCGATTTCCAGGAGTCTGCCCCGCGGTGGGGAGGGGGTACAGCTGAAGAATTGGTTTTTATCCAGGGATGACCTTTATTCTCCGAGAAACCTGTGTGAGACTCTCTGCTCCTAACGAAAGCATCTCATGCAACCAGGTGACGTTGCCAAGCATCCCCATCCCAGAATCTCCCTCCACAGGCACCTGACACCCCGAGGTATGCGGGTCACTGTTCCATCTTCATTACTTAAAGCATAATAAAGAACCAGAAGTCTAAGGCTTTGTACAAAATAGCTCTGGGCCTGGAGGGGTTGGGGGCACTGAGCATCTACACTGGCTTCTGAAACAGACCAGCCTTGCCCACGGGGGAGGAAACGGCCTCGTGCCAGCTTCAGTGGGAGGACTTACCACCGGCAAACCGCTGTCCAGGTGAGGCCTGCCAGGCCGCCGACCAACAGGGCGCCCAACACGATGGAGACCAGGGACGCCTTCGGGAGCCTCCCGGAGTCTGGGGAGAAGGAGCGGGTTAGCGAGCCCACCCGCCGAGGGCTGCAGCCAGTGTGCCCCCCGAGCCCAGCCCACCCTGGTCCTGAGGGGCTCACCTCCACTTGCGACTGCCCAAAGCTGCCATTTCAACAGATGGGCTCTCCCGAACGTGAGGTGTGGGGAGAGCTGGTGGAGGGCACAGGGGTGCCTGCCCTTTCTCAGGCCACAGGCCCTCCCTCGAGGGCTGGCCAAGAGAGACGAGCGAGCCCCAGGCAGAGGGGCTGGGGACCTGGCCTGCCTCCACTGGGCTCAGAGAGGGGCCAAACGAGCAGGTGGTTGGAGGCGCAATTGAGCTGGCGCCCTTGGCAACCCTGCTTTTTGCAGAAGTGGGTAGAGGGTAAACTTTGGGGCACTGTCCGGGCGGTGGTCAGAGCCCTGTGGGGAAGCCGTGGGGGGGCCAAACACAGCAGGTGTCCCAGCTATAGGCTCGACTGGAAGAAATGAGCAGGGTTGGCAGGTACAGACCAGAAGCGGCCACGGACGGGGAAGGAGGCTGCCGGGGGTGGCCTGGGCCATGCCGGGTCTCAGGGAGGGGACTTGGGAAGCGTCTGAGCCACACCCAGAAAGTGGGGATAGAATAGGAGGCTTCTCCAGCCCTATCCTGTTCTGGGTCCCGCCACCTGCCGAGGACGTGCCTGCCGGGCAAGGTGGGCTTTGGGATCCCCATGCATCGCCGGCTGTTCTGTGTGGGTGCAGGTCCTGTACCTGCACACGCACCCGTTCCAAAGCTGCCGGCTCCCTGCTGGCCAAGCAGAAATACAGGAGGTCGGGACATCCACTTTCAAATAAAAGGTAAAATACTGTCAGCCAGCACAGGAGAGGCCCCTTGGTGAGCACGGCCCGCCCAGGCATCGTCCAGAGTGCGGGCACTGATTTTTCCAAGACAATAACGAGCGGGCTCCACAGACAAGCCCACCGTCCTCTGTGGCCTGTCACCTGCATCGAGCTAGCTCCCAGGCGGCAGGTGTGCGCTGCTCAGAGAGCTGCCCCTGGCCTCGGAGGGCAGACAGAGTGGGAGCGGGGACCCCTCGGCGGATTACACGGCACCCCAGCCGGCTCAGCCTGCGCCCGTCTGGTGCCTGGAACGACTCTCCCCTGGCTCCGCCCCACCTGCCAGATGCCCACCTGTGTGGCTGTACGGAGATGGGTCTAAAGAGGTAACTGGGGTCAAACGAGGCCATGAGGCTGGGCCCCCATCCCAGTGACTGGTGTCCTGTGAGAAAGGACGACCCGGTGAGGACACGGGAGGGAGGCCTCGCGACGAACAGCCCTGCCCACGCCTGGACCTCAGACTGCAGCCCCAGGACTGGGAGAGCACACCTGCCATGTGGTCCAGCTGGGCCGTTAGAGCAGCCGGATGAGAGAACGCACAGCTGTGGTCCCAAGACTCAAAACCAAACCAAACCGGAGCCAGCTGAGCCCTGATTCGTCTCCGGACACCGTTCCCAGGGCCTCCCTGGCTGCCGCGGGGTCTCCTTTATCCTCACCCGACGGGGGGAAGCCCGCACGCGTGTTTGACCGAGAAGAGCTGTGCAAAAACGCACCTACACAAGCTTGCAAAGTGGTGCGGCTTTCCCGGAATTACCTGGAGGCTCATAAGCTCAGCCTGTAGTACATCGTGGACACCAGTGGTTGTCAACGCAGGGAGTGGGGAGCAGGGCGGCGGGGACACAAGCCGACAATGGCTCCAGCAGACGACGGCGCCCCGACCCACCCAGGACGGGGTGACCATGTGCAAGGACCCAAATTAAGAGTCACTATTTCTCAACACGTGCACCCTCAGGGTGCACTCGGCACGAAATCTCACTTTTCTGGGGCCAGCGTCATTCAGAGAGGCGGGGATGGGGTCTGGAGCAAACATCCCTGCGGAGGGCGTGGAGGGGGTGCCCTTCACTTCCCGGAGCCGACGTTACAGAAGCACAGAAAGTCTTCCCGGGGAGACTCGGCACTGCTGACCCGGGGCCCTCGGCTCAGCCTGCAGGCTCCGGATCCGCCATCCCAGGCGGGGAACTGCCCTGACCCCCTTCCTGCGAGTGTGTGCGGCATGGGACCAGACTGCCTCGCTGGGCGGCCTTCGGACGGCCATTTTAGATATTTTCCTGAAAACCCTGAACGCGAGAGCTGCTGCTTTCTAGTTTTTTGTGACCCAAAGTGGTCTAGCTGCAGATACATGGAGAATAAATGTTCAAACAGAGAAGAACTGTGAGTAAAGCTAGAGGCTTCTCCAGGAGGAGGCACCGTGGAGAGGAGCAGAGGGAAAGCATGTGAGGAGGACACGGGGTGCAGCCCATGGCCAGGGGCACACACGGTAGGCCACCAACAATCACCTGATGGTGCGGCCCTGTCACTCTCGCCCACGCGTGACGGCGGGACACACGTGTTCACGGGTGCAGTGCAGCCGGGAGGATGACCCTGCCACCATCCGTAGGGCCTGCCGCCCACTCAGGACGCGGAGGAGTGCACTCACCTACACATGTCCTTCCGTCCTCCCCCAGCACGTAGGGATCCGTGCACTCACACCTGAAGCTGCCCTTGGTGTTCCTGCACCGGGCCGACGGATGGCAGGGAGGGTGTGTGACGTCTTCACACTCGTTGATATCTGCACAGACCACACGGAGGTCAGGCAATGTCCCCGTCCTCCCCGTCCCCCGGTGGCTCCGGCCCTCACCCCGGAGGCACCTGCACTCTCCCCGAACCGTGGGCAAGAGAATCCGAGAACCCCTAGTACCCTGTCAGCTGTGCCCCCTCGTGCCAGGCCTCTGCCTGAGCACCCGCTCTCTCCTTGCCAGGGGGTGTCCTCTGAGGTCAGCCCGACAGTCGGCCACTCTGTGACCACGCTGCATGGCGTGACCATGACGCTGTGCAGGAGACCCCGCCCACACTGATGCTGACCGGTCCCTCCCGGGCTGATGGCTCGCTTCCATTCAAACTTTATGCCAAGTGCTCGTGCCTGAGCATGAGGGGAGCCAGCATGGCCGGGGTGCGCCGTGGGGCCACTGGGAGCTCACGGCACGCTGGGCAGCTGTGCCTCATCAGATGTGGGGTCAGATGGGGGTGGAGGATGCTGGCACCTTCCACACCGAGTGGCACCTGGCCTGGTGGGGGACGGGAGCGTGGGGGCCGGGGGTGGCCAGGGCAGGGCTGGGTCTGTGCGTCCGCTCGGACTGTTTTCCCACCAGACGGCTCACCCTCAGAGAGCTTGCGAGACCCCACGAGACCCCACGACCCTTGGCCCTGACCACGGGGGGAGCACTGGCTTCCCAGCCCTGAGTTGGAGCCTGCACTCCCAGGCCCGGTGAGCTGGTGTGTTTGGGCGAGCCACCGTCACTGAGGAAGGGGTTCTGCCCTCACGTCTTCTTCTCCCGGAAACCTGGAACCCTTGCTGGATTCCCAAGGCCTGTTTCCACATGACCTGCTGTGTCCATTTTTCTTCCAGTGACGTTTCTTTTCTGGCCAATTCCAGGAAACACAGGTGGTCTTAGTGTCAACAGACAACGTATGTTACAGATCCCTGAGCACGTGTTGAATAAATAAGACCATCACACCCTCTCAGGCCGTCCTGTGTTTGGGGAATGACGTGAACACCAGCTCGGCCTTTACCGCTAGCCGAGCCAGGCTCTGCCCCTTTGCCTTCATCCCGGACCCTGTGCCACCAACAGTCCTGGATGACATGGGGACAGGGCGCACGGGGACTTGCCTGGTGGAGGCTGGACCCCTGCCTAGGCCGGCGTCTGGCCACAGAGTGACGCTCGCCTCCCAGGGCGCAGGTGGGGAACTTGGAGCCTGACCAGAGCTGAGTGACAAACGTAAGCCATGGGTGTTGTCCACGGGGCAAGTGCACGTGGGGCTGCAGGGCGGGGTTGCTCCTGACGCGGAGGCCGAGGGTGAGGGCTGTGCCCCAAGACAGACTTCTCCCACATGTAAATGGGCATAATTATGTACCTTCAAGGAGCCGGGGTCAGGACTGCAGCGTGCTTTTTGGGGACACGCTTCGCCCAAGTCAGTGACCCCATACTTTCTGGTCTCCCTGCCCGGGGAAGCCGCAGGGCAGGTGGGACAGACCCACACGGGTCTCAGGCCCGCTGAGTCCCCAGATTCCCGGGTCGATCCACGTGAGGCCAGGCTCGCCTACCTGCCCAGCATTGTTTCCCGTCCCCTGAGCACAGGGTGCTGGCCGGGGCCTCACTGCCAGTGGACAGGAGCATGGCTTTGTTCATCTATCACACACCCTCTTGGCTACAGGGGCAAAGGGCCACAGACACCCCACTTTTTGTCCACTATGAATTCCTGACTTCAAAGCCCTCAAAAGAGACTCATTACAGTTAATTTGACAGATTTCTCTCTCCATCCCTTTCTTGTGGGTGGGTTAGCGGATGAGTAGGGTTTGAGTGAAGAGAAGAGTGCATCTCATCAGATCTGCGCATTAATCCTGCTGTGAGCCCGGCTTTCCTGCCCGCAGCCATGGCCGTGTGCACCGAGGACCCGCGGAGGCTCTTAGTTTCGCCACATGAAACTGCACTGTTCACGAGTCTGTTTCCCCTTGTGATTCTCGATCTAGAAACTCCCGGCGTGGGCACAGATCAGGTGGGAAATGTTTGTGTATGTTAATAGTACATTTATACCATCCACTGCTCCTCATTGGTTTCTGGACTTTGTTTAAAGATATTCTATCTTAATTATTATGCATTAGGACAAAACGCAGCATTGTGTAAGTAAAGAGTCAATTCCCTCTCCTTCCTCATTCCGTCTCACTGTGCCGAGTTTGAAACCAAGATTAACGAGCCATCGTCTTCAGAGAGACATTTACAAATATTTTACAAATAAACAGGCTCCATTGTTTTTTAAAAAGTCTAAGCAGGCTCCTGTTACGCCCATCACTGTGCGTTTTTACTCAGTGATGTTTCATGGACAGCACCGCACGTCAGTGGACATACTGCTAATGTTTTCCGCATGGGGTCACGGTGTGGATGCACCGAAATCCAAGCCAGCCGCTCCTGACGCACGGTGTTCATGATGCTGGCTCCGTGCCCCGTGCTTCTGCTGTGCATTTGACTCAGGAACTGAGAAGCCGTGAGGGGAACCGATGACCATCCCCAGTTTACGTTTGCAGACGCGGAGTCACAGAGGCTGTGGGTTTGGGAGGCAGACCGAGGAGCCACTGAGGTGGCCAGGCCAGGCGCGTGGGGCGCGGACCAGGTCAGGGCCAGCGGGGAGCAGGGTCCAGTTAGAGCAGGTTACCAGCCTTCCCAGACCCGCCCCGCCCAGCCGGGGTCTCGGTAACCGTGCAGGTCCCGACTTGGGGATGCTGGGAGCCCTGGAGCGGCTGCCTCTCCTGCCACAACACCCGGGCCGTGCCCCCAGCAGCCCTCCAGGTTCACCCTGTCACCCCCAGGAGCACCCGTCAGGCTCAGCACTGAGCCGAGGCTCACGGCTAGCGGTCGGTACGAGCCGGGCACAGCTGGGCGTGCACTGCCCACTTCAGGGGGAGAGTAATTGTTGGTTGAGGGATTAAGGAAGAAGAAAGGCATGATGGGTGGGCTGGGAAGGGACGTCAAGAATAGAGATTGCGGGTCACGAATACCGAAAACAGCCCAAATCAACCCATCAAATGTCCAGGCATTTAGGTAAAAGGGTGTGAGGCACACAGCACTGTGCGTTCCCGCAAGGCGAACTTTCTGGAAGGCGAATCCCTGACAGAGCTCTCTGGGAGGTCTCCCTGCCCTCGATCACGCCCTGGTGAGGCACAGGGTATCCACCAGCCCAGCCGCTCACGGCCTGCTTGTGCAAACCTGGGTGCAAAGGTTTCCCAGTGCGGTCATGAGTCTGGCACCAAAGTCCCCGGCCCCGGCAGGCTCTGACCTGGCTGTTTCTGTGCCATGGGCTGTCCCTCAGGGGCACTCCCTGGACCTGGTTCTGCAGCCGGCGACCCGGCTCTCCGTGAGACCCTGCCGCGAGCCTGGCAGGCGCACGGGACTGCGGCGTCGTGGGTCCGGGTGCTCATGGTCTCGCTCAGTCTTCCTATAGGATTTAGAGCCAGAAGCCGGAGCACTGCTGCCCTCCCACGACAGGGCAGTCCGGACATCCAGAACTGAACCGGGCATTTTTGTTACTGAGGAGAACATCGACCATCTGGACCATTTTTAACTGCATTTTGGAGGCATTCACATGCAACTGTCACTCCCACCCATCCCCAGAGTTTTCATCATCTCACACACGAGTCCTTCCCTCTCTTCCCTGTGCCGAGCTACGTGCAGCTCGTGACGAGCAGCCTGCACGCGGCTCCATGCCTGACACCAGGCTCCTGTCACAGCTGGCCGTGGCCGCGGCCCGTGGGCCCGTGGGTCCGCTGTGCGTGCTTCCCACTGCCAGCATCACTTCCCCGGCCACCCGACAGGGTCGGGTCGTGCCCGCCGACAGGGCCGCGAATTCAGGTTGTGGGTCATTTCTGAAGGAGTCACCAGGAATCCCCGACCTCGGGGTCCGAGGCACAGAGGGCCCCCGGGGACGTCCCTGCTGCCCACTTCTCTGCAGGAGCGACTTGGGGACCCAGGCCCGTCACCTGAGCCCTGCACCCTGCCCCCGACACTGTTCCAAGCAGCCGAGCGCGAGGTGGCTCGGGGCACCGGGGGCGGACCCCGGAGGCTCCCACCTGCACTCGCGTCCCCACCCGGGCGCACGCAGCCCAGCGCACACGGGGTGAGGATGCGGCCGGGTGACAAGTCTGTTGTGGGCTGTTTGGAGAGGAAGCATTTCTCTTTGGTTTCATCTGAGGAACGGGCTCTAGAAGCTCTTCCTGTAAGTCACTAACGTGCCCCCTTCCCTGCCTGCGTCACCGTGATGGTCTCGATGCTTCGTTGTCTAGAAAGGGGCCAGCTGGGGCGCATGCCAGCCCAGGCGGGAACGCCATATTCGGTGCCAACGCGATGCCTGGGAAGACGACGCCAGCCAGACGCACCTTTTTGTGAACGACACCTATCCTTACTTCCTGTTTGAAAACTGCAGGTTTGGGGGTAAAGTCGGTAAAGCCTGTGTGCCCTGGAGCCACTGACCTCTGCAGACGGGGGGCTGGGGATCCGCGCCGCGGGGGGAGCAGGCCACCTGCTCCTGGCCTTGCAGCTGGAACCCATGGCGGCAGGAGAACACGAGCACGCGCCGCCCAGACTCGCCGCAGAGCGCGAAGCCCCCGTTGTCCACGCCGTCCGGGAGGCTGCACGCGTCCCCTGCGCCGGGACGGAAGACAGACACCGCTCACTGCCCGGCCCGCCCGCGTGGGCCCCACGTCCCACGGTTCCGTCCAGGCCGCGCACGACGGGGTGCGGCGGCGATGAGGAACGAGCCCCACGCGCCTCAGGTCGCTGCTCTGGGCCAACCCCTCCAGGCCACGTCCCCACCCAACGCGCCGCTCCCGCTCACCCAGCCCGGGGCTGGCAGTCACGACGGCACGGGCCTTCCTCCTGCCTGGGGGCCCCCCTCGCGCCCCTCAGCTCCCCTCATCTCACCACCCCCTCACCCTCTCACCTCCCCCATCCCCTCACCTCCCTAACCTCCCCACCCTCACCTCCCCAACCCCTCAACCCTTCACCTCCCCTATCCCCTCCTCTCCCTCAACTCACCATCCCCTCACCCTCTCACCTCCCCCATCCCTTCACTCACCTCACCTCACCACCCTCACCTCACCACTCCCTCAACCCCTCACCACGCCCTCACCCTCTCACCTTCCACCTCCCACATCCCCTCACCTCTCTCACCTCACCACTCCCTCATCCTCTCACCTCCCCCATCCCCTCATCTCCCTCAC